TTACATTCAACTCTCTCAACCACTTTTACCTTCCGCTCCTTCACGTCACGTCCTACGGACGAGTTACGGCGTTTATGGTTGTACCCAGATATTCGTGGCGCGTTGTGCAACCTGAATGTTCGGGGATTTGTAAAAATCCCTGCCTAACAGTGTTGGACATTGATCGATTAAAATTTTCTTTGACTGAAATAACCGGCGAATCAATCATCAAAGCGAATTAATCGTTACATATGTAATCACGAATAATAATAGTAATTTAATCGACTGATGAAATTAATTATCAATTAGTGTATAGTTAATTACATTGAAATTTTATTAATAATATACTTTATCAGTCGATAAAATTGTTTGTAATTTTATACAGAGTATTTTACAAATAAACCTATCAAAAAAGTACACTCCGATTTCTTTCTAATCTGGCACAAATATAAAAGTATAAAAAATATTTAGGTCATATTTTTCATTTTAGCCCACTTTAAGTTTCACGGGCAGTTTATAGCTTTTTAATGTTCTCACTCCTATCATCAACAAATGCAACAAATGCAACAAATGCAACAAAAATGCATAAGAGATAAAATTGAATACAAGATATAGTTAAATAATTTTATCAAAATAGGCATAGCTAAAACACGAACCATTCTAAATTTCTTTAGCCGAGATACCAACTGAGATCTTTTAAATCTGTGCTAAATTAGTAAAAAATGATTCGTATCTCGGCCAAACCGAGAGAGAGAGAGAGAGAGAGAGAGAGAGAGAGAAATTCGACAATTTTAATTAAAATTTTAACAAAATCGACATAGCTGAGACACAAACCATTTTAAATTTCTTTAGCCGAGATTTTATCCGAAATATTTTAAATCTGTGCTAAATTAGTCAAAAATGGTTTGAATCTCGGCCAAACGGAGAAATTATTTGTACAAATAATTTCTCCGTTTGGCCGAGATTCAAACCATTTTTGACTAATTTAGCACAGATTTAAAATATTTCGGATAAAATCTCGGCTAAAGAAATTTAAAATGGTTTGTGTCTCAGCTATGTCGATTTTGTTAAAATTTTAATTAAAATTTTAACAAAATCGACATAGCTGAGACACAAACCATTTTAAATTTCTTTAGCCGAGATTTTATCCGAAATATTTTAAATCTGTGCTAAATTAGTCAAAAATGGTTTGAATCTCGGCCAAACGGAGAAATTATTTGTACAAATAATTTTTTTTTAACTTTTTACGTTTTGTTTAAACATTTTGTTATTTATACAAATAAATTTACATATTTGACTTCATATTCATAATCGACAAACCAAAAAAGTCTATATCTTGTATTCAATTTTATTTCTTATGCATTTTTGTTGCACTTATTGATGATAGAAGTGAGAACATTAAAAAGCTATAAACTACCCGTAAAACTCAAAGTAGGTCAAAATGAAAAAATATGACCTAAATATTTTTTGTACTTTTACATTGGTGCCAAATTGGAAAAATTCGGAGGGTAACTTTTGGGGTTGTTAGAACAAGTGTCCTTCCAAGCTTTCATGGAAGCATCGTACAGATTGAGATGAATCTAAATGTTCCTATACCGTAATATTTCGATAATTATTGCGAATATCATAAAATAGTATTTTATGTTCACCAGAATTTTTATGTTCACTTTAATGCGTACTATCTCCAAGAGAGTTTCGAAAGTTTCGAGAGTTCTGAAATACCTTGTATATGGTGGTTAATTAATTTTGATGATAGATTTGCCGGTTATTTTAGTCAATAAAAATTTTGATTGATTAATCTCCGACACTGCTTCATAATGTATCTTGGAAAATTTTCAAGCGAAATATATATTTCTATTCTAATACTTTCGAATCATGATCACAGATATATTTATGATATAAAACTCCTTAATCATTTCTTCAATATTGCAATTTTCAAAATTTCCAAGCAGAGTAAACAATAAAGCAATTCCATTTCAGGGATTTACTTTCTTCTAGGGCTATGAAACATCAACAGATTTTCTTTCTCGTTTTGAGTCACGAGAATAAAAATAAGATTTCCTTATTTCGTGCTCGACTAAAGACACAAGCAAAATATTGATTATTTTTATTGCCAATTTCTAACGTCGCATCTTCCTGTCGTCCATATATCTGTCATCTTCCAATGCGCGCATTTTAGGTTAACCTCACGAAAATAGCGACACGCAACGCATAGTTGCTGTATATTGGATTGGACAATCTAGTCGATCGCGCACACCTTTATTACCACCAGTAGAGTATTCGCACTTGTAAAACGTCGTTGGTAATTATTGCCGGTTTGATTGCTGTAATCTTGTCGTCGGCACGTAATATCTGTACGGCACGTAGAGCGCGTGGTAATAATTTATAAATGAAGGTTTCAATATCATTGCACGCACCGTAGGATTATATCAAAGTAAGCACAGCTGTAAAAGGCATACTGGTATTTTGGTCATGAATTATTCACGGCGTTTAAATATCCGGGCATTTCCACGTGTTTTGATACGCGGGTGTATACATAAGTGTCTATTTCCATACAAATTGGCGGAATTCTTCTGAAATAACAAATGAAAAAGTGAACAATAAATTTCAAAAGTCTAATACAAACATACACAATATAAAGATAATTAATTTCTCAACCACAAAATATTTAATATACTTTTTATACTTTAAATATTAATTTTTTTGTTCGTAAAATTTCTTGTAATAATAAACGATTAAACTTCACGTGAAGTAACGTCAAACATTCTGTAAATATTTCTGCACAGTATTATTATAATTAGCACGGTGAAAAATATTTTGTAATTTTTTTTTGTATTGAAACCGACCTGTGCAGGAAGATATTGTGTTGTATAAAAATTTTGTGTCAAATTTTCAACATGTCCATATGTCAATTTAACGTATCGTCATCGTGTTATTTTGATTACTCTACGTCGAGTTTATACTCACCATTTCTAAATATTAAAATAATAATTTATATGTATAAATTTTTATATGTATAAATATATAAATTCTTGATGACACATTTTAAATTCAGTGTACAAATAAATTTTGTTATTCATATATTTGTCTCTTGTTAAATTAACACGAAAATTAACACGGAGATTAGAATGAATAAATTGGGATATATTAAATATGTTAAAAACTCAAAAAAATGGTCTCGTAGTCATAGTAAAAATGATCTAAATAAATTAGTTAAAATAGATAAATGCCTAATAAAGATTGCGATATGTTATGTACTTAATCTATATAGATAGAGATAGAATCTATATCTGAATCATTTATAAAATTTATCAAGAAAGTCTCTTTGTAGCGCCCACATCCAGATTAAGGTCAATCATACTTCTCATGAAAGTGGTAGACAGAAAACTAGCGATGAGGGACGAACGAATATATAAGAGACAGACCATACGTCCGTCCATATGCTCGAATTTCATGAATATAAATTGCTTTTATTATCCGAAACAGTATGTCATACACTTGCAAGAAACTTCATGCTAACTAGTAATACGTCACTTAATTTTATTCATTTACGATAGAGAATATTAATATAAAATCCCACGAGAAGCTTAAAGATTAACTTTGCGCGCGCGCTACTAAATCAGTTTTTTATATGTTTTAATATTATCCTTTTAATGAAGTTTTTAAACTCAAAGAAAAATGTTTATGTTCTAAAAGAACCATTTTGCGATTTTGTATCCACTGTTCCTTCCAAAATAAGTACTAAAAAAAACACAGGAGCAACACCTTTGGGACATCGAAACCCAGTTTCTTTTAATTTTTACACACATCTAAATTTGCTTGTAGATACAAAAAACAGTGATATATTTGAATTACTTAGAATTCTATTTTAACCAGCAAACTATTTTTTTTAATTTAACACAAAATTCTCTTACATATATATATATATATATATATATATATATATATATATATATATATATATATATATATTTATATATTTATATATATTAATAAGAATTGAATTATGAAGTTAATTTAACATGAAATAAATATACGAATAACACAATTTATTTGTACACTGCATATAAAATGTCATCAAGAATTTATATATTTATACATATAAACATTTATACATATAAATAATTATTTTAATATTTAGAAATGGTGAGTATAAACTCGACGTAAAGTAATCAAAATAACACGACGACGATACGTTAAATTGATATATGGACATGTTGAAAATTTAACACAAAATTTTTATACAACACATTATCTTCCTGCACAGGTCGGTTTCAATACAAAAAAAAATTACAAAATATTTTTCCCCGTGCTAATTATAATAATACTGTGCAGAAATATTTGCAGAATGTTTGACGTTACTTAACTTTTTAGAACAATATATATATTGTATATATATATATATATATATATATATATATATATATATATATATATATATATATGTACACACACACACACACACACACACACACACACACAAGGTGTCCCAGAATAACCAAGAAGCTCTCGTAAAGGCATAGTATGGATTGAAATAAACATAAAAGTTTCAATCGACATAAAATTAGATGACCGTAAGGGTGAGGGGAAGGTACTTGTCATCTGCTCGCTTTTCGTTGTGTCTTCGGTACTGTCGCTTTTATCACACGTGACATCGCAATACGGCGTGTCTCCAGTAGCAGAAAGGGTAGTCTTCGTCGCTACATTGTCCGACACGCTGCGACATTCATTCACTGTGTAGCAGCCCATTGATGTCAATCGCTTCGTTTATGCGCGCGCCAGGCGCTCCTTGTTACAAACAATCGTTGGTCACATGTTTACGCAACAGGTTTACGGGGAGCCATATCGTCCGAGAGAGACGACTTGACGTATACCATAAGAGTACACGAAAGAAATCGATATGGATTCGCAGGAAACCGCAAACAATATGGCCGAGCCTGCTTCGGGCCACGGAGGCACTACGGTAAGCAACAAGCGACGAGGTAGATAGAGGTTGTTACGTCGTCGCGCGACGCCCGGGTCATATTTTGTCATTACGACGTCCACCGCGCGACATATAACTCCAACGAGACACCCAACGAGACATCCGATCGTTCGCGACCGAAAAGTTGCGAGTTCGCCGGACGGATAACGACGAGCACGCTCGCTGAAACATACGATGTTGAAGCTCTGCCGGGGTGAAACGCGCGTCGAAGGAAGTAGGATGATGCGCCGACGATTCGTGGCTCGATCCCATAACGAGCGGAAAGCAAAACGGTGGCAGGCACGGTAGAAACGGCACGACGAGACGTCACCGACCCGCATTATCCAAAGATCGATAAATTCAAGGTCGCTATCGCGAATTTCGATTCCTTCTGGGGCTGGCTCTCCCGCGGCTTCCACATGATCGCCATTGTGCGTCACAACGATATATCTCGTCTGGGAGTTGGGTCACAACACGAAATGACGTGCCGCGTGTTAAATAAATCGAGGTGGAAACGCGACGATGATGAGCGAGCGTACGTAATGTTCGACTGCGTTATTCGATCACGTGACACCACGGAAGTCGGCGATGGATGAGCTTGCGACTCCATGATCCACGCAAGATCCCGAGTCGGAATGTTAGCCCTACTTTCGATCTGAACTTTCCAACATCTGCGTATCCTGAAGAATCAATGAGCTCGGGTATGATGACGATATGGGAAAGATAGCCATAAGCTCTGTACTTTCTCTAATAATTGTTAAATAGTACGTTTTCGCACGATTTTTTAGAACGATTGTTTTTAAGAATGACTACGAAAGCGCACTATTTTAGCAATTGTTAGAGAAATTCTATCTTATGGTTTACATCTTATGGTTTACATATTTCCCAGATGGCATCACATCCGAGTTTACCGTATGTTTAAAGCTTAACCTATAATTTGTTTCTTGTTACTTTTTCTTTATCTCTTTCTCACTCAAGCCTTAAACTAAAAAAAGACAGAAAATAAGAAACAGGAAGCAAAAAACATATTGTAGATCAGACTTAATACACACAGAAAGCGAAAACCTACTTAACGTCGTTGAATAGCAGAAAATATACAAGATGCCACTTGCAGATTCTAAAGAAGATCTTTCTGTGAAGCAAATAGGTGAAATAGATGTCAAAGCTTGATATAGGCTTCGGAGTATCGAGATAGACGTTAAGTGGAGTATTGAGATCGAAAGTAGGATCAAAATTTGGATTCGAGATGACAGCCGGAGTCACGCGGGCGTGACTGCAGGCAATGCGAGACCCGCAATTCGAATCGCAACGCAAACGAAAAGATCGATGGGGTTAAGGTCACGGTTAATATCGTCGATTGCAATTTGCCACGTTGCGCCGGCGACCTTCGGCCTCGTTTGCGCTCATGTGCCAATGTCGTTCGATATTAGGAATCGGATTGTAATAGTCGCGTCGCGGGGCTGTTCTCCGTACCAAAGAACGACGCAACATTGTATTTGAATACACGTTGAATTCAAGTGTCGTGAGTCATGCGGCCAAACTGAGCCGATCGTAAGTTTACTTGGCGAGCGCGAGATAGGATCGTCATATGAACATCAAAGAGATCTAAATTACGCTCGCACTTGCCGACTCGATCGTCCTGCTTACCTGTAAGGTGGCATTACTAGACGGATATTGTTTCGGCGAGTCGCAATTTCGATGTTAAGAACACACGGGAGTAATCTCGACGATCGTTCGTGATAATGTACGGTCATTAGCATAAAATACTGTTTTCCATGCTTATAGCAGTCGACAATTGGCTCCGTCGAAATTACGCCGGAATTGAAATTCCACCAGTTGTCTTGAAATCGGGCTATAGAAGCGCCGCGAATATTACGCAAGGATGACATATTCGACGAGGAAGGACAATCCTGTGCATTATTACAGTCGTACATTCGCGCGTATTAGATAATCTATCTCTGTTTTTGAATAGAATAATCAAATAGAATCGTATCTGCAATTCTAACATCATTAAAGAACACAGAGAAAAGAAGATTCGACTTGATTAACGTAAAAATGAACGAACCAAATGCGTTTTAGTTGAAGCAGCTGAATTTCTAGTTCTTGTAAACCAAAGTCGGTTCTGGGTGAGATATTTGACGGGAAAGAATAAAAAATTCCGTTTTCTTCAACTATAATGTGTTTGATTCGTTCATTATCACGTTAATTCAACCAAATCTGTTTCTCTGTGAATAAATGCGATATAGAACGATACAAAACAGCAGAGAAGTACTTCCAAGTTTATGTATGCCAAAGCGCAATTTTCCATAACGAAGTATCCACGAGCACGCCTTCTTACGCAAGTATACGCAACACGAGCTATTCTTCCGCAGGTGAAGCCAAACGCTCCTTTACCACCGCAGGGCTTTCAAGCGCGACCGCAAGGTCTTCCTATCTCCCCCAGAAATTCGATAAATAATGGTCCCATAGGCGCGCCCCGAGCAGGACCGCCGCTGCGCCGACTGGACAGTCGTTCTTCTCTGGGTCCACCAGCCTCGGGTCAATTCGTGCAGCTTAGACCTTACGGTCCGCCGCGACCCCCGGGAGGATCTTTCCCTCCAAGACCACCACAACCCGGCCAGCTACCCCCGCAGAATCCACTGCACCCTGCGAGTCAACGTTTCGCGCACTCTCCGGGGATTCGAGGTCCCCCGCCGCAAGCAAGCGGTCAGAGGCCGCTTTTCGTCGGCAACTATCAACAGGCGCAGCAACAGCAGCAGCAGCATCAGCAACAACAACAACAGTATCAACCGCGAAGCAACGACCCGCGATTTCAACGACCACCGCCGGACATCGCCCAAAACGGACCGCCGCGGAACGCGGAGGCCGCTCCTTACCGACCCGGTCAAGACAGCGCTTTCCCCAGACAGCTGCTGAGAAATGACTCATTGCTGAGCCTGCAGCGGCAGCACCTTTTGTCCAACGAGGAAATCAAGCAGCCGACGCGACCGCGCATAGTCATCGAGAGGATGGCGGACATAGACGAGACCAGTGACAACGTCGCCAAGCTTGAGGGCTACCTGCAGAGGAAGAAGTCCGACGTTCGCGAGAACGGCGAGAACGACGACGACGACGACGTCGTGATGGACAACAAGAAATCGCCGCGGCATGATGCCAACGGTATCCCCCCTGAAGCACTGATGAACGGCTCCAAGTCACCCTCGACGCCCAGGAAACACGACGACACCGGGAAACCCGCGAGCGAGTCGGCTGCCATCGAGAAGCAGGAGATGCCGTCAAGATCGACTTCGGCTGACAGTGACGACAAGATATCGAGACACTCCGCTGATTCAGCGGCGGTCATCTCTCAAAGCAGACCTGCCTCCGCAGTAAGCAGCCACGAAGGGAAACTTCCTAGCAGACCTCCATCGAGCAAAGAAGTCGACATCGTGAAAGAATTGATGGAAGATTCCGCAAAGAGTACGACTAGTGTAACCCCACCCTTGGAAGACTCGAAGAGCGACAAAACGTCTCGTCCACCGAGCGCAACGTCGATAGGAGCGATGGGAGAAGCCAAACAGCCGCCTGGCAGTCCATATGGAAACGACACGCTCGGGAACGCCGAACATAGCTTGAAGACATTCTCGAGGTCCTCGGACAACTCGCGGTCCAGCACTCCTTCACGTCTGGAGACACCTCAAAACGCGGAACGGGAAGCGAGGTCGCCATCTAAGACTCCAGACAAGTCGCGCTCGAGCACTCCGGGCTCCGGGCTGGAGCCGTCCGGCAACGCGCAAGTGGAATCAAGAACGCCGACCAAAACTCCGGATAAGTCGCGCTCGAGCACTCCAGCCGGACTGGAGCCGCCTGGCAGCGCGGACTCGAAGACGCCGTCCAAGAGTCCGGATAAATCGCGCGCGAGCACCCCAGCCGAACTGGCGCCGTCTCCGAAAGAGTCGATAACTCCAGTAAAAACGCCGGACAAGTCGCGTTCTGCCACGCCGGCTAGTTCTGGAGCAGAGCCAAGCAATAACGCGGTGGTAGATGAGAGATCCTCCGGGATCCCAGACCACCGTGAGGCGGACGAAGAAACTCTGGGAGTGAAGCAACCAAGTAGACCGACGTCGTCCTTGGGCTCGTCTACCTCGATAATTGGCAGAGATAGCAAGTCGCCGAAGTCGCCGAAGTCGCCGAGGTCACCCACGACGCCGGAGAGCCAAGGCAAGTTGTCAGCGCCGGGATCGGTGGCGACTCCACCAAGGTCGCCCGAAGAGACCGTGAAGGGCTTCGACAACGGCCAACAACGATCGTTGTCCGCGAGGACGACCCCCAGCGCCAGTCCCCGCTCACCCACTTCTCCGAAATCGCCCGCCGGCGGCGGCAAGCAGCCTGAGGGTGAAAAGAAGCGAACGTCCTTCGCCGAGGATCCGGTCGCCGCCAAGAAGGCGGCGGAGATCGTGGAGAAGTCATCGAGCCCGACGTCTCCGTCGAAGCCTGCCACCTCCGCGGCGAAGATTCGACGCAAGGCGACTCCGGCCAAGCTGATCGACGAGAAAACGGAGCTGAAGTCCTCGGAGAAACAAGGTCCTTCAAACAAGTGTTTGAGCGTTGAACGAATTAAACGGAGCGCTTGTCGGGCGTCCTGATTCGTACGCGAAGCGAACGTTTGCTTCGCGATATTTTTTCTGTTCCCTGTATATATATTTATTTAATTTTGTGTATATACATTTACTTTTTTTGCATTTATACGGAAAAAATATTGTAGTAAAAATTACAACAAAAATACCAAATTGCGACAAAGTAAGATCATTTTGAGAAATGTTAAGCACGTTTGACTTTTTACTACAAAATTATTGCATAATTATACTTGAATGTTTTTATATCAAAGAAATCGTCAAATATGCTATTTTTATAAATATATAAAAGTACCAATGCCCAGATATATATGCATGTCCATCCTGGACATTCTCTTATCGCTTTGGTCTTGTATAAATATTTAAACTTTTAACATAAAATATATATAAAATATGTTTAAAAGTATTTTATATATATATATATATATATATATATATATATATATAAAAGTAACAAAAAAAATATATAAAAGTATTGAGTATATGCATACATTCTATATGTTAAAAGTTTAAATATTTAAAGTTTAAATGCTACGTTATAAGTTTTGTTACAATATTTTCTCCGCGTATATTTTTTCAGTTCCTCCGTATAGTTTCCCTTTTGACTATTCGGAGACAGTTTTCCGCTTTCCACCCCAAATGAGCTTACTGCGAAAGAAATTTTACAGTAAGGAACTATTTGCTTCTTTTCTCAATGCATATTTTAAATTGATTCTCTCGGCTTCCCGAGGAAGATCGTCGAGGAACTCGACGTAATTGGAACGCTTCAATAATAAATCGATTCTCGAAAGTTGAGCTGTGCGTATATGTGTGTCTAAATTTTATATTCGAGACTGTCGAGACTTTGTTTCGGTACGAAGCACCCTTCCGATTTATGCACACTTGCTAACTCAATTATTATGACTTACTAATACGTTCTTCTTTTTTCACAGCGGTCCCAAACGGCAGTGGCGGCGAGTCGCAAGCGGTAAATATTCTACACTACGTCTCTGTCTTTCCATGTTTCGTGCCTTTGATGACATATTAAGAATGTGATCTTTTTATCTGTTCGGCGAATTGAAATCACTTCGAAACAGGCACCGACTACAAACGGAGTCGCGGAATCGCCAACTAAAAAGTCTCCCTCTAAGTCCAAAGAATCCGATAAGAGATCGACCGCTGGATCGCCTACGAAATCACCTAGCAAATCCGCTAAGTCGCTACCACGAACTCCCGAAACGCCTCCTTCGACTGCCCAAGACAAAAAGAGTAAGTGCTTTTTGTTCCAGTAATTTCAAGGCAGATTCGCGAGGTTAGTTCGCGGGATTCAGAAAGTTCACTTCGTTTTTCTGCCTTGTTCCGCCATCCTCTGTGAGAGATACACAAACAGAGACGAATTTAACTGAAAAATCAAACCGAACTTTTTGCATAGCCCTTCTTACATGAGTGAAATTTAACGTAATCAAAGGATTAATATATCGTTATAAAATATTTCCAACTTACTCCTTTCGTATAAATATGATCGCGTCTTTCGTAATCGTTAAGAATTAAACTGGATATCATAGAAGAAATTGAAACGTCAGAATAATTTCTTATCTAAAAATCACATTAAAGCAACGTAAGTGTTTGTTCAAATCACATTAAAGCAACGTAAGTGTTTGTTCAAATCACATTAAAGCAACGTAAGTGTTTGTTCAAACGATCCTGTGTCTTCTGCACGTACAGAGCTGCCGATGAACAAAGTTCAAGTCGGCGCGGCGCCCTCCCCGAACTTGAAGACTGTACGGTCGAAGATCGGTTCTCTAGACAATGCGAGTTACAAGCCGGGCGGTGGCAAAGTGAAGATAGAGAACAGAAAGCTGGACTTCAGCAAAGCGCAACCGAAGATCGCCGCGAAGAACGAGAAATACACGCCCAGCGGCGGCGACAAAAAGGTTGATCCCTTTCGACCCCGGTATTGAATCTATCACCCTACTAACGATAATGCCACTATCGCGTTTCCATTCGTGTTCTCTCAGGCAGGAGGGCGGTCTTCGCCCTTCTGCATAATGCGCTTGCCAAATATTAGAGATTACGAGTCGAGACGCTAGTCTGCCATCATCATTACAATCCGTCTTCTTCGAACTTCTCGATCATAGATTTCCCAAGTGAAGCTCCAATGGAACGCCAAGTCCAAAATAGGCTCCCTGGATAACGCCGCTTACAAACCGGGCGGCGGTGACAAGAAGATCGAGACGGTGAAGCTCGACTTCAAGGACAAGGCGAAGCCAAAAGTCGGATCCAAAGACAACGCGAAACACGTGCCCGGCGGCGGCGCCGTCAAGGTGAGTGAATCCAGCGGAAAGCACAACTCGCGGATGTTACGTATTTGCAACTCGTAGATTGTGAGACCAACTGTCTCGCTGTGACCAATTGTACAAAGAATTTCTTACTTTATTGATCGATTTTCACTCACTCTCTTCTTATAAGTTCTTGCCGATTAGCGAGATTCCCAGTTAATCGGTAGCTCTACCTAAGGGAGTATTCTGGTTTGAAGGTCACAAAAGAAGGCACTTTTTCGGAATCTTTTGTAGGGAAACGAAAAAACCGAGTAACGCTAAACTTTGCATATTCTTTAGGTCTTATTTTACAAATCTATTTTTATTGTCCAAAAACGCTCTTCTTTTGTATATCTTACTAGAAACTCGCGAAAAGAAAACGATACAAGTGCAAACGCAAAAACCAACAATTTTTTTATTCAAGAGAAGTGTGGTTATTGCCTACTACTTGTATGTGAACTAATATTACTATTTTGTAATATTACTAATATTACTATTTTGTATAAAATGGCGACTTTTCTTTTAAGAGAATTTAATTTTTCCTCAAAATATTGTTAGTGTTTTATTAAAAAAAAAGTTAACAAATGTCTCCTGGTGATCAGGATATAACATACAAAAGAAGAGCGTTCTCTTATCACTTAGACAATAGAAATATATTCTTGAAAGGCTAAAGGAATGTGCAAAGTTTTAAATTCGATTTTTTTATTTTCCTACAAAAAATCCCTGAAGAATCCCTTTTTTGCGATCTTCCAAAGCAGAATATTCCCTTGACACGCGAAACGTTTTCTCTTTTTCTTCGATCTTAACGATTTGCTTTGATTAGCGACATTAGCATGAAATTGTCACTCTCTTCTGCATTATACCCAAACAACTAATCCCGAAGGCATCCTAACGTTATGCATTTATATGTACGCATTTGCGTTTACATTTTTGTCGTTAGTTACTTGTTTGGTAATTACTTGGATGAGGAACAAGCGATATACACAAGCAATCTCCTCTATAATATGTGTTTACCGCTCCAGGGAAATCATTATATAAATTTTCATCTCTTTACACAGATACTATTTCCTCGTAACTCGCAGCTGGCTGACTCGACGACAGAAGCTTAACTGCGTTTTAGCATTTTATTTTTCCGCCGGTAGAACCCATTACGAATGCAATGTTCGCTTCGTTTCATTATATCGCCAAGTATTCGAAATAATTATACTCTCTCGGTGATGCGCTATTCCGAATTTTATTGAACAGTTGCATGTGGAATGCTGGCATAGTCGTACAGTCGTAATCGGAACGGAGTTATTTATTTCAAATTGTAAGAATGATGCGGCAAAAGGAAACAGCAGTTTGAATTCCGAATGGTTGTAGAGCGAAGTTAATGATTACAGTCTGGATTACGCGATTTGCAATATGATTGCTAAAAAAAAAAAGAAAATTATCTCAACCTTGACAGAGTCCTCTTAAATATGGCCTCAAGAGGATTCTTCGAAAACCAAAAGGAAAATATTCTAATATTCTAAGAAAAGAACTCTAGTTACAAGGTGTTATTTCCTGTAATCCCAAATACTAAACGGAAACTTTTACCGAAATTCTTCTAATGGAGAAGAACAATATTGTGTGCGTATGTTTTAATAAACTTATTTTTTATGTCAATTACAAACTATAAAAATGCCGTTATTAAAAACTCAATGCGTTTGCTATAATTATGACTTATTTCCTTTTCTATTTGTGCGTTTAACTTTACGTTTTCCTTATTTTATAGCCTTTCTTTTGTATGTTTTATATTTTCATTTGTACTTTTGTTTACGTGTAATAACTGTATGTATGTCCATACTAAGAAAAAAAATATCTAAAAACTAAAATATTTGTTTGGCTATTATATTAAAAAATATTTTATATAAAAATATCTTATTATACTAATAACATATTTACATCTAAATCTAAATTGTTTTATTTAAATAGAATAAACAACTGCTTTTATGAAAAGTTAAAGCTTTAAGAAAATATATATTTTTTATTTGAAAAATACTTTATAAATTAACATAAATAAATATATTATAGTATTCACCGAATAAATATTTTTGATTACTTGGATCTTTTTTCTCTCGATGTAGCTTACTTTTTATATGCTTCTTCATGTAATTTTAGTATTGTCTTGTTAACCAGCGAACTGTAATTGTGCTTTGTACCAAAGGGACAATTTCCCGAAAATATAAACAAGTAGATAAATAAATACTGTGTTTAGAATATCTTCCTTTCAGCTTTCGAAGAAAGCTCTTGAGTTTATATATAAGAGAATTCCGCTAAAGATAAGATTATATTTCTTCGAGTATGTTAACTTTATTTGGCAATCGTGAAGATTTCGATGTGCACTAATTTCATTCATCCATCAAATACGTGCGTTAGTTACTATTAAAGCCCGAATCCAAAATGTGTGAAATGTATGTATATGGAGGCCACGAAGTTCAATTGTGCAGCTAATTCGTTTACGCATGTGTCGTCTCTCGTCATTATTAACAAGCCATTGTTATTTCTTGGTGTTCAGTCTGCAACTCCACCTAAGACACCGCAGGATGCGAAGAACGACGTAAGTACAGCTCATGTAGCTAACGAAATAAACTTTCGAAGTCGAGTGTGATACATGTCGCTTCTCTCTTCCCTCTTTTTATTCTACACCTGTTATTAAGGTGACCAGATGTCCCGTTTTTCCGGGGTAGGTTCCATTTTTTATCCTTTATTCCGGATTCAGTCAAACTGTCCCAATTTATCCCGGTTTAGAGAATTTTTAAGATGCTTCTGATAAAAGAAAGACCGTCTCGGGAAAATTCACAGCTCTGGTAAATACAGCTTTACTTCTTCTTTTTCTTCTTAATTTCAAGTAAGAATAACAACTGTTTCATTTCAACAGTAATTTTCTATTTTTATTGTATGCAGTAAGTCCTCATTGTTGTTAGATTATTTTTCATGTGTTTATAAAAAAAATATTGTTTTATATGTGTGTATATATATAATTTTCAGTGACTTCCTTCTCTCTCCTTCTTCGCTTAACATATTTATAAAATACCCCGGATTTGGAACTGGAAAATATGGTCACCTTACCGTTACCGATTTGATCTGGTATTCGTTGTCGGGCCATGCAAAATGTCGTGCAAGGCACTGGAATTCACTTCACGAATGCAGAATCGAGATCGTGTGAAACGCGCGAATTGAGACGTCCACGAAAGTGGCGGTTGCATATAACGCGTACCTGCATCGATATAACTCCGCTCTGGAAGTCGCTATTTATACTCAGCGCGATAAATCGACCGGTTTGCCTTCACGATTTATAAAGATCGACACTTTGTAATCGGTAAAGTCCTAAATCGCTCTGTATTTGGATGTAAGTACACACATTGGACGAGATCAGTTATCTCAGCATGTTTCTCTGCATGTCTCAAAATTTCTATAAACTTCACACGTCACAGGGGCAATCATTGCTTCGTGTTTTAATCGCTCTATCGAGCTGTTCACAGTTTCATTAACGAGCGAATCACACACTGCGCAATATACACGATGAATTTCTTACGTTCTGTCGTCACCTACTCGAAAATGCGTGAGAAAGGAATGAGAGATTCTTTTCTTTTATTGACTCCTCACTTCCATTTGTCTCTGCTCGCTTATCAAGTAGGATTTTGCTGGCAGATGGCTAATACAACCGGTTGTTTCTATTTCCAGATTCCGATGCAAAAAATAGATATCAAAGCCGAAAGCAAGATCGGTTCTCTGGATAATGTGAAGCACAAGCCGGGCGGCGGCGACAAAAAGATCTTCAACGACAGAGACTATCTCCGACAGACGAGTTCCAATGTTGAGAGCTTGGACGGCAGCGGCTCCCAGGTATGATACATATTCGATGTAAAAGTCTTGAGCAGCTATCGCGTGTCTACCTCGTTGTTTCTCGACAGTGCACGACACAAGCCCCGACGTGTTCCCCTCGCGATCTTCGTGGGGATAAACGCCGTGACTGATAAAGAATTCTAGCCCGATGAACTGCGTTCTCATTTCTCGAGATTTTTCGCCTTCAATATCCGCACCGAGTGCTTAAACACGCGCTGTGCATGCGTCTGCGAAATGCCACATGTAGCACACGTTTTAACTTGGCTCGCACTTGCAGATAAATCAATAGTATCTAACAATATGCAAAATAAGAAACAGTATAAACGTCACGCTTAAAATTGCCTCATCTTAATTGAATGGCAAATTTGAGAAATTTCCTTGGATAGATTGGAGATTGGATCTCTGTAATTTCTCTACAAAACGTTTCGATGTTTTCATATAATCGAGACTATAAGGGAACACTTTAAGGAAGTATTAACGAAATGATGTTATTCGTTGGCTAGGCTGTTTCTCCGCATTGTCCGAACCCAAATTTCTCCAGGAATGCGCTTTCTTCAACGCCTCTCTTCTACTTCTCAGTTAAATCACGCTCTATCGACTCGAACTATTTCTGCTGGTTGTTACCTTCGCAAAAATGCGTCTACCGCCATGCGTAAATGAAATGAAGGGTCACTTCCTTCGCCGTAGGTTAAATTACTAAGGCTTGTATTAAAACGGAGAAAATATTGTAGTAAAAATTACAATACAATTTTAATAGTCCAGGAATAAACCGGCACTATTACAAGAATTATAATAAAACATATAGTAAAAATTACCATAAAATGATAATTTTCACCATATTTATGGTAATTTTTACATGTGTATAATTACATTTGTCTTACTATGTCCTCTTATAATTTTTATTATAGTGCCAATCTATTCCTGAAATACTAAAACTGTATTGCAATTTTTACTACAATATTCTCTCCATGTAACCGTTACTTGAAATTTATCTCACGTAAAACATTCAGGCCCATATTAATCCCTCTGCCACTTTGCGAATTTCGTCTCTGAGGAGAGGAGAAAGGCCCAAAGACGAACTGTGTAGTTAAAGTTAATCGACGTCGAAGGAAGCGAGCCCAAATCAACAAGTGCAGCACCGTCACGCACTAAACGGAACACAAGCTGAACTCTCTCATTCGAGAGAGCCTCTGTTGACAAAAAGTAAATAAAAAATAAATGAATCTCTAATTGAATTACAAGAATGATAAATGGTAGCTGCATTGCGCGTGGTGTGGGATGCTAGCTTGCCACGTGCCTCTCCCCCCCCCCTCCCGAAAGGAATTAATGCGCGTTGAAAAAGAAGGACGTTTATTTGTTGAATTTGCTCAGTTCGCGAAGGGTTGTCCCGCAAGGCTTAATCCTGATACCGTGTCTTGTGCCCGCAGAGCCCCGTGCCTTCCGGCGCGATCACCGACGGCAAGAACGGCCTGCCAGCCTCGGACGAGAACCTGAACCAGGAATGCTAGGTCACGAAAAGTCGGCCGATAGACCCGCTTTACTATACCATTTGCATATGATTAATCACGTTTACCTATCACCCCCCCCCCCCCC